CTTCTATACAATGGAAGGAGACTGCGACCACAAAAAAAGACCACACCATCTTGGTCTTCATACTTTCAATGTAGAGTATGGTTGAAGTAGCCAACCAAAGCAGAGGAGGCCTCATTAAGATCGCGATGTTGGGTGTATAAAAAGCGACTTAGGTTGCAGCCGGTCACCTTTTTCTCTTGGTTTAGTATATTTTGCACTATTTCGTAAAGTATGAAATCTTGCTCTGATGATGTCTGTCACGGTGGTACAGACGAAAGCTTAGCACAGGTTGATCGGGGTCTCATAACAGTGAGCCAAGGACTTCATCGCACAATTCAACAGAATTTCATACGCGGCAATTCTCCTTCGGTTTCCACATCACAGATTCCTTCCAACCAACTTTCTCTTCGAAATCCAGTCATGCCACACTATTTGAAGATAGTCTGTAAAGAACTCACAGTGATGGGCAATTTCATGGGCTCGCTTGCACAGCTCAATCCGATCGGAAAGGTGCTGGGGATCGCACTTATCCACTCTTGTCAGAAAGATGCGAACCAGGTGTCTGGCGGCCAGTTTGCTAAGAAGAGTTCCGTCATCGTCGACCCAATCCTTGCCTTGGCAGGCCTTGTAGAATTCTGCAAGATTGGCACAGGCCTTCTCAAGTTCACCTGTAAAATATAAAAAGGTTAAAGTTGCGTATCGAAAAAGAGTTATTTAATGCTGGCCAAGCCTTAATGAGTATTGTAGCTTGTTCAAGATTGAAAGTGCAGGAATGCCTATTTTGTTAATGTGTTGCCTTAAAATTCCCACTTTAACTGGTCGCTTCTTCTTTTATACCGCCTTTACTTCCATCCCCTTCGCTTCGACCAAAATTCAAGGTTGGGAGAGAAAAATTACTGTTATATCTGGATTAAAACCAACTTATATGAGGTATTTTGTAGCAAAGCATGTATTTTCTTGTAAAATCGTGTAGTCGATTCACAACTAACTAGTTTTAAACTAGTTGCCGATACTAAAGAGGGAAAATTTAGACAAAATATGTCTCGAGACTATCTGTAAATCTTGAATAAAAATTCAATCCACCCCAGGTCGCATTAGATGAGGAAGGGGAGGTGAATTTTCACACCAGAAAGTGGAGAGTCCTTACGATGCCGTTGAATTTTACTCGATCTTGCCTCCATAAAGGTGTATGCTCAATCAAGCTGGACTGGACTGCAGTTTCCGCCTCGCCTAAACTGGCTCCATCAGCACTTACAAATGCACTATCCGGGCTCGACTCCCGTTGGGCATTTTAATGAGACCCAGGCCAGGTTAAGATTCATTGCAGTCCAACCCAAATGACAATTCATTTTGGGAATCAAAGCAATGTGAAATCGAATGGAACAATGAGGCATATTCAGATAATTATGGGGAAATTTGAAAATTAAACCTGCATCATCCTATGCGACTTATGGTGAATAGAATTCTTAGTCACGATTTTATGATACCATTGAAACCTACTGTAAATGAATACGAACGAAACCCTATTAAAAATAAAATTTAATGACATTGTAAAGCCTTCTAACCAATTCACTTACTCATGTTTAGTCCTCTTGAAAGAGGATATAAACCCATAAAGTAAGAAACATCATATTCTCTGTCATTGGTCAAGGCTGAAGAGAGTACGAAATTGTTCCGTTCGAATCTACTTACCTAAGGGAATCTGATTAATTTTTTTGTAGAATCTTAAGATTTTGATACTATCGGTATATCTTTAATAAGAGCTGAAGTCAGCCTGAGTCGCTTAAGGTGGCGAAGAAGAGAAAGTGAATTTTCCCACAATGCAATTGAAATGCCTCATACTTCTATTGAATTTTACACAACCTTGCCTCCCAAAAGGTGTATGCTTACTTAGGCTGGACTTGACTACACTATCCCGGTTCGAGTTCTGCCGGGGGTGCTGATAAGACCCAATTAGAAGAGATCGAAATTGTAGCATAGTCCAGCCTGAGTAAACATGCACATTTTGGCAAGCAAGGCTGTGTAAAATTCAATGTAAACGTGAGGCACACTCATACAATGGTGGGCAAATTCAACTATCTCTCTTTCATCACCTCTTGTGACTTAGGCTGACTTGGTCGCCATTATGCTCAGACTCCACGAGACAATGAACCGTGAGTCTTTAAACGTGAAAAAGAACTTGCTTGTCGTTTGTAAGTAGGATTTCGAGGATACCAGTAAATCAGATATATTAAATGTGTTCACTCTATTTTAATTAAGATTATGAAGGATCGGTAGTTGGATTTTCCCATAAGTAATGTAGTCTAGTGCTGCAGTGTCATTGTTCGAGTCCCGCCAGGGGTATTGGTAGGACCTAATCGATGAATAACTGCGATCAACTCCAGAATGGATGAGAATACCTTTCAAGAAACAAGGCTATGTGAAATTCATAGGTATACTCATATGATTGTGTTAAAATTCACCTACCAGTCCTTCATCACCTTAAACGAAACAAAATGAAAACATCTTATATAAAAAGAACTCTGATAAGAATTTACTTATCCCAAATCCCTTAAGCGGATGTGAAGATTGGTAGGTGATATTTTTCACACATTGAAATGAGGAGGCCTCAGGATGTCATTGAATTTCCCAATTAGCCTTGCCTCTAAGAAGGCCTGAGTGCACTGAACTCACCTTCCCTCGTCAGCACGCCCAACAGGCTTCGAACCCGGATCATGAGTATCGTGGCAAATTTGCCATTACAGTGTGTTAGAAAACCCACCTACCAATTCGTAAATCACCTTAAGCCATGTAGGCCGACTAAATTCTTAACCAATTTCGTCTTCACACCTAAAGTCTGTTGAATCGTTGTCTTGTGGAGTCTCTGGGCCCGACGATGATAGTGTGAGAGCAACAAAGTTGGGGTGCCCGACTACGCTCACCCTTTTCCTCCTTGGCCAGGCCATAATACTGGTAGGCCAGTGCCTGCTTAAGGCCATCATCGTCCTTGATCCTCTCGGCCACACTCAGGGCGTAGCGTAGAAAGTGTTCGCGGAGCCAAATGTCATCAGGCGACTTGGCAAATTGAACCGCCAGACGGACATACGCGCTGAAAACGGAATGGTCGTCACGACGTCGCATTGCCGCCTCTGCCTGAATTAGATTGTCGCGAAGTAACAACAGTTTGTCTCGCTGCTCTGAAAGCGGCGGTCTCTGCCAGAGCGTCGAGTCAGGACCAGCATGACGCTGTGCCTCAGCCTGGATGCGATGAAGTTCGAAGAGCTCAGTGAACGTGTAATGATAACCGTTTTCCAAGAGGTCGTGGCAAAGCACCTCATAAAATGGAAGACGGAAGCTGGAGTAGAGTTAGATTAAAGGAAAAAGTAACAGGAGACGTAAGATAGACACTGATTAGTAGTGGAATCAATCAAAATAGAATAATACGATTGTTCTGGTTCACTTTTATTTATAAGTTGGTTTTCGAGACTACCAATAGATTATTTTTATCTATGAAGAATACTCACCCTATATCGCTTAAGGTGATTATGGAACTATTTATTACATTTTCCCAAAATCATAAAAGTAGACCTTACATTTCCATTGAACTGCAGATAGTCCTGCTTTTCAAAAAGGTATTCTCATCCAAGCTGGATTGGACCGCAGGTAAGGGTGTTAACCCTCAGCCGGACCTAAACCATGACAGTGCAGCGTATAATCTCGACAAGTTAACCACTACGCCAGATTGCCACGAATGGCCTAGGGTTACAGGAAAAATGTAAATCTCAAGGAAGGCAAGACATTTTCTCATATCACATTCTGTGGTGGGATTGTCAATGGGACGAAGTTGCATTTGCTATGGCAATCAACTATGTTACTTATTTTTCATTTATAAGTAGGTTTTCGAGACTATCGGTAGGTCACTGTGGGAAAATTCAGCTATCGGTCCCCTTATCACCTTAAATGAAATAGGGTGAATATATTTCTTTATAAAAAAAACTATCTACTGGCAGTCCCGTAAACATACTTATAAACGAAAAAGAGGTAACGTTGTCTATTATTATAGCAAATACAATTTTGCTTCACCGGTAATACCAACAGAGAATGG